GAGGTAAACCAAACAACACTCAGCTGTGGTGCGCAACCACTTTGGACCAACAAGTGCATAAATCTTGCAATTTTGTCAGTACAAATAATGAAAGTACCAATACTTCAAACCCAACTTGTTGGCCGCCCAAGTGCGCCGCCGCGAAACTTGAAACAAATATAGAAGGACAACGACACTTTCAAAAATGACTCCATCGACCTAGCGATGCGGTTTAAACACCTCGTGCTAATTTAACATCTTCCTTTTCCATGCATCCTTAAGGAGATGGATCACGCCTATCGAGTCCCTCTGCAGCGGTGGTTCTTTCCCTTTTAGGCTTCATGTCTTTCGACCGAATCTCATCCTCTTAATTTGCCGGCTGCAGCCCTTTCCTTCCACTCCAGGGAGATCGGCGATTAGAGGGAATAAAATGGCCAAAGCCCGAGAACCCGAATGAACCAGGATGAGTCATCCTGCGAGCCGGAGCAGAGTAGACGAAGCGTGAGGCCGCGCCGCGTAATGGCCAATCATTTCGGGGCAGAATCAGGCCCGCTTAAGAGAGTCTACCTGAGCGGCGGCATGAGCTGTCCAGCTCTCTTGTTAGCATCAATAATAAATGCGCCCGGCGGTTAAACACAATGTTACACCGTACACAACACGCCCTTCGGTGCAGGCGTGCTTACGCCGCACTCTGCCCGCTACCCGACACCGCGGGCTAAGCGTGAACTCTTCGGGACCACAGTTGTACCTTAAGTTGCGATGTTGATGGACGTCAGGAGCTACGGTCTGCTCATTTTGCATAAATGACTGTTTAGCACGTTCAAAAAATAAAGCCCAATAGCAAATGCAGCTCTCCTTGCCCACAGGCGAGGGCATTCCAGCAGTCCAAAAACAGCGTCAACTGAGGAAACAATATTGCTCGTCAACCGCGGCGTTCTTCAACCAAGGTTCCGCAGTACTTCAGTTCGTAATTATTCGAATAATGAATGAAAACTTTGAGAGGTGTTATGCAAGGACACCGCACTTCCTTCCGCCAAGCACATCCAAACCACTTTGAAAGGCTTTCTGGTGCGGCAAAGCCACACGGCTTGCCGGGGGTGGGGGGTGCGGAATAGCCTCCAGGCACTTATTGATGATTTTAAAGCCTCGAGGTTCAAAACAAAATTGTCGCCGCCGCACAAATAGAGACGAGCAGCCACTTTGCTGAATGAGAACAGCAGGTATGGCCGCCGCTTCCGCTGGAGGATGCGTCGGGGATCCACCAGGAGAGGTGCTAACCATAATCCCATTCATCAGGATAATTGGGCCATGATTGGCTCTCGTCAAGGCACCGCAGATGCCATCAGGTGGCGGGCGGGGATGACGGGCTTTGTCTCATATCAGCCCGTGGCCGTGCAGTCAAGTTTCTGGGGTTGGGTTTTAATCCCTTGCTTGAAAGAAGCCAGATAATATGTGCAAACGTTCTCTCATTAGACGGGTGTGATGAATGAATTCACCCATATTTGTTGAACGGCGGAATTTGCGAGACCTCGCATTGGAATCAACAAGGAGGCATAATGAATTTTGCGAGCAGTGCAATTAATTCACTCCCAACTGGTTAGCTGGCAAAATGAGTTGATGTCGACGCTGAAATTGAAAACACGGCGGGCTGGCGCAGGAACGTCGCGTACCAATACGTTTGTCATAAATATTTTAAAATTGTGAAAAGATTTTGTCCGGACCAAACTAGTTTGTTGCCTAAACGGGCTGCGGTAAGTAAGTACATGCACAATATGTTTGTGGCAACTAATACGATACTGGGAGCTTAAATCATTTAAACCTGGCGATTTTGCCGCTTAAATGGGCTTGTGTGGCAGTAGAAAAGGAAGGCAGTGACGTATGGAGCGGGAATTACGTTATGCCACAAACATGCACACAATGAAATCAGTCACAACTGGTTTGCTGCCTAAACGGGCTGTGATGCAAACTGAAAAGAAGCGATTTTTTTTTTCCCGCCGTCAAAACATTTATTTTAAAATATGTATTTTCTTTCTGTTCAAATCACAACAGCCGGCAATTGTACTCCTGCTACTGTAGCGTACGTCGTCGTCTTTGAAGATGCGATGAAACTTTAATCGGGCCCACGGGGGCAGCGCAACCCGGAGAAGCCGCCAGACATGCGGGAGGGATATTATAGATGACAAAACGCACGGAGAGGTTACGTGTTACGCAACAGATCGCTATGACGACAAATGGCCCGCGTGTCATAATGGCCCCCGCGCCCCCCAAGTAGCGCTGATGACTGGCTTATTGCTACATGCTAACTGACACCGTGATAGTGTCACACGCCACCAGCTGCCGCGCATCAAATCGGTCATACCTCTGATGGAATATTTCATTAGCGGCTCGGTCAAACACACTCGCGGCTCTGACAGCGGCGTCTGCGTGAGCCAAACTCCTTCAAGAAGTAGAGCGCAGCGCATACAGAGATTTCAATCTCACAAGATAAATAATTGCTTGGATATTCCGCGGCTCGGGCGGTGCAAATCAGGCCAAGGCGGCGAGGAGGTTTTTTTTTTTTTGGGGGGGGGGGGGGACCTTTCAACCGTTCTCAACACTGCACAAGAGGGTGCCTACAATGACCACACTTCCATCAGACCCGACTACTTTGCTGCCTAAGTGCGCTGCAGTTGACCCCCAAAAAAGGAGATTCATCTGGTTTGCCGCCTAAATGGGCTGCTGTCGAAATCTAAAAAGGAAGTCACCAGGAAAATGGTGACGTTCACTCCGGCCCAACGGGGTTTGGCGCATAAATGGGCTGCAGTGCCAATTGAAACAAGTGGTAATTTAAAAAAAATAGTAATAAATCGGTTGGCCTTTTTTGTAAATTAATCCGATCACACTGTTTATTCAGACGTTTTTTTTGGGGGGGCGTGAAAAGGCTTTGTGAACCGCTTGCCGTCGAGTTGAGACAATTCCTCATGGGGCTTCGGTAATTAACATCACGAATGTTGCTAAGCCGATTGGACTGTGACAGCGAGGCTGCCTCCAAGGAACGGAGCCCGAGGGACCCTCTTTTCTTTCTTGGATAGCCTCGCGGCCCCTTGCGGTTCCCTCGCTGAAACTGTGTCATTCCGCAGCCTACTGAACCACCAAGAAGAGCCGTGTGGGAGGCGGCGACTATGGACGCATGATTTCATTGGGCGAGCTTCTGAAACATTTCTCCCATCATTCAGAACGAGCACTTGAAATTCACCTGGTACGCTACGTTAGCACGCTCTGGTGTCACCTCGCAGTGAAATGCAATGCGAACGGATCTTTTTTTTTTTTTTTTTTTGTGTGTGGATGAGAACAACCAGAAAAGCAGTTTCACTTTAGACAAAATGAATGAATGGACGCTAAACGCGCAAGGCTTCCTCCAATTATTAGTGAGATATGGGTCAGAAATACAATTAAGGTGTTTACATGACAGCTCGTGTAATTACTATGCTCCTATGACTAATTATAGCCCGATTAATGGAGAGCATATAAATATAGAAGAATTTTGTGTGTGCGTGTGTGAACACTTCAGAGGGAGGGACTGTTGGCCAGGATAAAAACGCCCCTTTGGGTAAAAGAGTGCAGTCTCTGGCCATGAATATTAAAGGCGTCGCTCATCTGGTCCTCCGAAGCTGCTCTGCGGACCAAATCAAGCATCTCTCTTTGTCCTCTGCACATATACGAACCGCCGCTTGGGGCGGACTTGTTCGAAAAACACCTGGGAGTTGCCGTGTTATCTCTCGGTGGGCTAAAGCGGCCACGGGGGAACATCGCGACCGGGCTTGAGTCCAGAACGGCACATATGCAAGTTCTTTTGGCGTCCTCCGACGCTTCTCACATCTAATCTGGTGCCATGAAATAATCGGCATGAGCTCACCGTTCCACTTACTCGTTCAGAGATAAGGCCGCCACTTAGTTGGAAACTAGACGGGAAGTGCAGACCGGCACCCTCCATCTAAAATGGAGGGGGGGGGGGGCGTCGCAAGCAGCGGGGGGGAGACAAAGTCCAAGCTCAAATGAGATTTTGCAACAGGCGGCGACAATAGATGGCCGAAATGATCGCGGAAATGGACCACGAGGCACCTCACAGTGACCGAAGTGCTTTCGTAACTACGAGTCCTTCACGTCAAGGAGTCGAGCTTTCTCGTCATTAAGGTGGCTACCTCGAAACGGTTGGAAAATCCCGCAGAGTGTCTTTTTATCGCACGCCAGCGGAACGGAAAAGCGGGAACAGAGGAACCGAGATCCATTAGAGGATGCATCCGACTGCGCGGCTGAATAACGGACAAAATGAATGCTCGGGTAGGCCGGGAGTGCACGCGCGGCGTCGGAAATGAAATGACGTTCTGAAACTGTGTCAGGTTATCCTTGCTCAAGATACAGAATGACTGCAGTGACAAGGCCAGACGTCTGACTGCTGACTCGCAGGGGACGCTGACTTCTGATTGGTGGAATCCTAACCGGATATGCTCACATTCGAAGCGGTTGACGACGGCGGGCGAACGGACGGACGCTTCATCAAAGGTCAGCAACCCAACGCAAATGTTCGGTGTTTTCGGGGATGCTGCCCTGATTTACTTTCTGGTCCGCCCAATTTGGTGTGAAGACACTGGAACGACAGGTAAAAAGAAGGTTGGGGAGGGGGGGGGGAATGGAGGAGTATGCGGGGAAGAACTGGGGGAGGGAAAAAAAAGAAAAGAAAAAAAAGACGCGAGTTTTAGCAGCCGAGCCTTTGACGCAGGCGGGGAGAGGAAAGGGTTGCCATGGAAACCGGTGCCATGCCTCCAATGAGCGAGAGAAGAGAAAGGGGACAGATTAAATGCATGACAGAAATTGAGCTTTTGATTAAAGGCGCCTTTGTGATCCCCATAACCCTTTGTTGCGACCAGAAATATCATTCGGGCGCACCTTGGACTTGGCCGGCTCGGGTTCGAGCGTCGCTCTATGAAAGGGGGGGGCGATGGGGGGGGGGGGCGTTAGCTGCTAGTCTTTTTATGCCGAGGCACAGGAACAGAAATGTCTCTACAGAAAGCCAATGCAGCGCTCGGAGAGAAAGCTGAGGAGGTGGCCAAGTTGAAGGCTGAGATCACAGACCTGGAGGTGAAGCATGCCGAATTGAAAGTTGAGAGAAAACAGTTGGAACAGCAGAGGGAAGAGAAGGACAGCCAAGGTGCTCAGCAGCAGACTGAAATTGGTCAGGTGAGTCCAACCTTTGAAGGCTGATTTCTTTGCATTCTGCCACATTGGAGATTGGATTTGGGATAAATTTCCAAGATGATGGAAGACTGGAGGCTCGTCAAAAGCAGCGGAATACATGAAGTTTCCACATCATGGAAATACAATTGTCTTATAAATGGACAGACGTCATGAACCCTGTGAGGGAAATTAAGAATCTTCTCTAATGTAATCATTATTATTCCCCCTGTGGTCTGTCTAGCTTCATGCAAAACTATTGGAGGCCGAGAGGCAAGTGGGTGAGCTGCAAGGTCGTCTGAAAGAACAGAGGCAGCTGTCTGGGGACAAACTGAAGGACAGAGAGCAGCAAGCAGCAGACCTGCAGCTTAAACTCTCGCGTGCTGAAGAACAGGTAGACCTGAGATTGAGCCTATGTGGATCCTAACTCTGAATTAATGTCAACCAAGTTGCAGCCGATCACAAATCAAAAATTTGCCTGATTCTGTCAGGTTCTGTGCTACATATAAATATTTTATGATTATATCACTAAGTTTTTGTATATTCATTAAAAAAAAAGAAAGAAACCAGTGTTGGCTGCCCTTTCAAAAAAAAAAAAAAAAAAGATGAAAGGTTGCATCTTATTGTGGTAATTTGCTTGGGCCACGAAGACAAAAGGAGGAAACAAAGCGGAAGGGGGAAGAGCGGGCTTGTAAAGAGCAGGCTCGCATCTTGAGAGAGTCATTCGGTGACTCGTTTGCCGCAGCAGATCGAGGAGTCGCTTTGAAATCGTGTTTGTGAAATCAACCGACTGTGCAATCGCCGCCGGTCAACGTGCGTTCACTTCACTGCCCGACGTCACTTTTGGGCTTTGGCGCACTCGCGCAATTCGCCCGACGTCAACTTCTACCTATCGCTCGCATGAACCCCCACGCGGATTACCGAACGACGGGCTCGCCGCGGCTCGGGCTATTAACGCTCTGACCTTGGATTTCAACCGGGCAATTTGTCTAAAGCGCCGCTTCCCCCTCCCTCTCCCCGCCGGCCTCTCACTCTGTCTAGCTGCTAGTCTTTTTATGACCCCGCTAATGACTTGATTAGACAGCTGGCTCTCCAAAACAAACAAAGAGGGAGGGTGGGCCAAAAACAGACAAACTGTTGCCATCGGATGACGTTTCTCGCGGAAGAGACAGACTGGGGGGAGGACGCGGCGGAAAAGCCACAGCCCGCGTTTCGCACTTTCCGCCGCAACACTCGACGATGAGCACACCAGTAACGGGGCGTGCGGAACAGACGGAACAGACGCTCCATCTCATTAGGAAAGAGCCTTGGTGCTGCACAAGCCGTGACGCCCCCCCTCCCCCTCGCCCTCCCCGGCACTCAACACAAACCCTCAACTCACTGTTAAGATGCCAAGGATCAAAGTCTTGGGACATCGCCCCCCAAATGGTTGATGAAGATGACAATGACAGATTCCTGGGAACAGTTTGGGGACCGTAGGCCGATCCGTAAGACAACCCCCCCCCCCCACCCCCGATCTCCAATACATTGCAATATCCTTAACACCCAAACCGCTAAACTTATCAGACTTAACCTCGCAATCGAACTGCTCTGGCCCCGCCGACAAGGACGTTCCACCCGACAATCAACCCCCCCAACCCCCTCCCCCGACCCTAAATGGCTCGCTAAGTGCACAACACTGTCCAATCTCTCCTCCGTCCAGCAATTAATGCGCTTGTCCCAATTCCATTCACCTGCTCCTGACCCCCTTGATCGTCTGCGTTATTGTTCGACACGAGACGGCGTCCTCGCGCAACGCTAAGTGACCGCAGAGCTAAAAAAAAAAAAAAAAAGATGAAAGGTTGCATCTTATTGTGGTAATTTGCTTGGGCCACGAAGACAAAAGGAGGAAACAAAGCGGAAGGGGGAAGAGCGGGCTTGTAAAGAGCAGGCTCGCATCTTGAGAGAGTCATTCGGTGACTCGTTTGCCGCAGCAGATCGAGGAGTCGCTTTGAAATCGTGTTTGTGAAATCA